TACTACTGGTTTCAATTCAAAAGGATCCACTATTTATTTACCTTAATTAGTGATACAATTTGGATACTTGTCCCCTCCCAAATCTCGTGTTGAATTGTAATCTCCATTGCTGGAGGCACGGTCTGCTGAGAGGTATGCAGGTCATGGAGGCAGATCCATCATGGCTTGGTGCTGTCTTCACCATAGTGAGTTTTCACAAGATTTGGTCGTTGTTTTTTTCTTTTTTTGAGACGGAGTTTCACTCTTGTTACCCAGGCTGGAGTGCAATGGCGTGATCTTGGCTCACCGCAACCTCCACCTCCTGGGTTCAAGCAATTCTCCTGCCTCAGCCTCCTGAGTAGCTGGGATTACAGGCACGCACCACCATGCCCAGCTAATTTTTGTATTTTTAGTAGAGACGGGGTTTCACCTTGTTGACCAGGATGGTCTCGATCTCTAGACCTTGTGATCCACCTGCCTCAGTCTCACAAGGTGCTGGCATTATAGGAGTGAGCCACCATGCCCGGCCTAAGATTTGGTGTTTTAAAAGTGTGTGGTAGCTCCTTCCACTCTCTCTCTTTCGTTCCTGTTCCTGCCATGTAATATGCTTGCATGTGCTTCATCTTCTGCCATGATTAGAAATTTCCTGAGGGCTCCCCAGAAGCAGCTGGTGGTGCCATGCTTCCTGCACAGCCTACAGAACCATGAGCCAATTCAACCTCATAAATTATCCAGTCTCAGGTATTTCTTTACAGCAATGCAAGAATGGCCTAATATAAATAGATTTGAAAAAAAGCACCTTGCAATGCTCTGGTAAATGGGAAAGCCAGTTTGATTTGACACAAAGGAAAATTTACCCTCAAAACAACAAAATGAAAAATAAATATTATCAAGTGCCAGTGATTCCATGGCACCTGCCAAGGGCTGTGAGTCTGAAAATGCTCCGTCATTTAAAAGGGAAATTAGCCACAGTCAGGGGGCATCAACTACAAAGCACACAACTAGACTTCCTCTTGCCATTTGAGGATGTGTTGTGCACCGTCTGAGCTCATTCCTGTATCCACAGAGAAGCGAAAGCCAGGCAGCAGAAACAAAAGAGGATCACACACACATGGCGGGGGGTTAGGGGTGTGCAGTTTGGACCCAGGTTGCTTCAGTCAGGGAGACACCTGAGGTCTACCTGACTCTGTCTCTTCTCTGAAAACAGCCTATCACCCACAGCCCTGGGCTGTGGCACTTTACCGAACTAGGCTGGGCAAATGAGCTTCTTTCCTGTGGATTCTGAAATAAAGACCGGAGATGGAGGATAGAGCATGCTGGGCACTGGGGTGAGAGTTCATGTTCTGAAGGACTATGGTTCCTGTCCAATGGCCAAGCTAAAAGATGTGAGGCCAGAACATTGCAGGGGCTGTGGGGAGGAAGGCTTGCCAGGCCTTGCCTACCAGGCAGGCATGAGCAAGAGCAGGTCTCACTCAGCAGGACCAGATGCCCGTGGTTCCCCAGTATCACATCCTTGTATAGAGGCCTCTGGGCCAGTCCATTTCTTCCAGGAGAAGGTCATGGTCCTATCCTTTAAGGTCACCAACGCCCAGGAAGTCAGAGGGAGCAAGTCCACCTTGGGCTGTTGGATAAGACTAGAACCTATTGTGACACCACTAGGACAGGTGCAGAGACCCAGGTCCAAATGACTGAGCTCCCCTGAGGGTGGAGTTCTATGCAGGGCTCACGGAGAAGCTGATGTGGTCTCTGGACACAATGCAGTTGTGACAGTGAAAAGGTTCCTTTCCACATGGGAAAGCCTTCCCAAGTCCTGGTTTCTGCTCCTGGGGCTCCGTCCGGTCAATTCGCCCCACATCCTCACGAGCAGTCATCCTACATGTGAGCCTCTAGATTCTGCCAAAGCCAGCACCCAGCTCCCTGTTGGGACCCTCATGAGCGTATCATCAACCTGCAGGATGGTGAGGTTCTCTCCCAGCCAGGCTGTGCTTCCAGTGTCACACACAATGTGACTGTGCAATTGTGTGTGTGTGTGCACTGGAAGTTAATAAGGATCAAACACGAATGTGCAAAGCCTAGGTATTCAGAGCTTGCTGTAGCACCAGCAATATGATGTGTGCCAGTGACCCAAACACCAGGCATTGGGCATCTCTATCACTCACATCTGTCTCACAAATCTCTGTGCTGTATTGTGTGGCCACGTCTGCTGTATCAGAACCTCCGTCCTGTCACACAGGTCCTTGGTGTGCTTTGCAGTTATGTGTCTCATGTCTGTCAACATTTCCTGTTGTGAACATGCTATACCCATGTGTGAATCCAGGCTGTGTTGAGGGATGTCAGTTTCACACACCACCACACAGTGTTGCTAAGTATTGTCCCAAGGTTGTGCTACAGGAAAACTATCACACACAGAAACACTTCCACAGTATTTGGGACACCTGAATCATACAATACCTGAAATGTCTTCTTATTATTCGAGATCAGCCTGGGCAACATAGTGAGACTCCATCTCTACAAATAATTGTTAAAAATTAGCTGGAGGCCAGGTGTGGGGGCTCACACCTGTAATCCCAGCACTTTGGGAGGCCAAGGTGGGTGGATTGCTTGAACTCAGGAGTTTGAGACCATCCTTGGCAACATGCAAAACCCTGTCTCTACAAAAAAAAAAAAAAAAAAAAATCAGAAAAAACTAGCTGGGCGTAGTGGCGTGCACCTGTGGTTCCAGCTACTTGGGAGGCTGAGGTGGGAGGATCGCTTGAGCCTGGGAAGCAGAGGGTGCAGTGAGCTGAGATCACACCACTGCACTCCAGCCTGGGTGACAAAGAGAGACCCTGTCTCAAAAAACAAAAATAAATTAAATAGGCCAGACGCAGTGGCTCACACCTGTAATCCCAGCACTTTGGGAGGCCGGGGCGGGCAGATCAACCTGAGGTCAGGAGTTCGAGACAGGCCTGGCCAATGTGGCAAAAATCTATCTTTACTAAAAATACAAAAAATTAGCTGGGCATGGTGGTGCATGCCTGTAATCCCAGCTACTCAGGAGACTAAGGCAGGAGAATCATTTGAACCTGGGAGGTGGAGGCTGTGGTGAACCAAGATCATGTCACTGCACTCTAGCCTGGGCAACAGAGTGAGACTCTGTCTCAAAAAAAAAAAAGGAAAGAAAGAAAGCAATGTTGAGTTATTTAAGATACCTGGAGGATACTGATGGGCATGCTATCCTACAGGGCTGCCTAACTCAGTCCCTTCTTTGAGAACAGTTCCCCACCCACAGTCCTGTTAACCAGTCTCTGGGGACACCTGACCCAACTAGGCTGGATCAATCAAGTTCTCTCCCCTGAATTCTGGAAGAAAGAACTCAGACAGAGGGCAGTGTGTGCTGGGCACTAGGGTGAGGGTTTGCGTTTAAAGGACTGTTTCTAGGGCCGGGCGCGGTGGCTCACTTCTGTAATCCCAGCACTTTGGGAGGCCAAGGTGGGCGGATCACAAGGTCAGGAGTTCGAGAGTAGCCTGGCCAACATGGTGAAACTGCGTCTCTCCTAAAAATAGTTTTAAAAAAATACAATTAGCTGGAAATGGTGGTGGGCACCTGTAGTCCCAGCTACTCAGGAGCCTGAGGCAGGAAAATCACTTGAACCCGGGAGGCAGAGGTTGCAGTGAGCCCAGATCACACCACTGCACTTCAGCCTGGGCAACAGAGTGAGACTCTCACTCAAAAATAAAGGGCCATTTGTACCTTGTTGATCCCCAATGCAGACACAGGGAGACCAGGCAAAAGGATGTGAGACCAAAACACGGAATACAGCAGGACCTGTGGGTAGGAGAAGGGTTTGAGGTGCCTTTCTCACCAGGCAGGTATGTGCAAGAGAATGAAATCAGAGGACTAGGGTCACCCACATGGGACAGAAATAAAGCTTTACGCAGCAAGACCAAGCGCCCACAGTTCTCCAGCCTCACATCTTGGTGCAGTGTCCTCTGGGCCATGTCCAAATACCCACATCTCTATCAGGGGAAGGTCAGGACCATGATCTCGAAAGGCGCCAATGCCTGGCAAGTCAGAGGCAGCAAGTTGACCTCAGGCTGTTGGATATTAGAACCTTTTGCTTGGTCACTGGAAAAGGTGCAGAGAGCCAGGACATCTGAGAGTTGAGCTCCATATAGGGAACAAGAGGGAGGGACCCTGCCTCTGAAAATAGAGTAACGGTGGCAGAGGGTAAAGCCTCTGATGGGGGATGTCATTTTCAAGTTAAGGTTTGTGCTACTCAGGCTCCTTCTGATTCTCTGCTTCCGCATGTCCTCCTGCACTCACACTGTATCCCGTGTAAGCCTCCAGATGGCTTGCCTGGCGCCATGCTGTGACGGTCATGCCCGCAGAATGGAGTTGTTCCCTCCAAGCCAGGCTGTGCCCACATGTCACACTTCGTGCATGGAGATTGTGTGTGTTGTGAAAATAGACACAGCCAGTTACTAGATGTGTAGATGCACATTTACCACAGGCACACACGTTTTGCTGCTGGCTCCTCCGCTTTCTATGAATCGTATCCAAAATGTCTGTACCAATTATGTCCCACGCTTAGCTCCCATCAGCTTGGTTATCACCGTCTATGGAATCATGGGCATCAGAGCACGTGACTCCTTTGCAGGAGCTGGGAAAAAGCTTCCTCTCGACAGTGCTAGGCATTATAGCCTGTGGGAACAATGCAACAAATCCACCTGATTCCCCAAAGCACAGATTAGCTGTCATAACAGCCGACTTGTCCTCAGGATGACCTCTAGTCCAGAGAAAGTGTAGGGATCCAGGCCACAGATTAGGACAATAAGATCCTCGCATCGTTTCCTAGGAGGCCTTGGGCAGCAAGGCAAACTGGACTAAAATGAGAATGAGAATTACTCTGTCATTTTACTTTTCCTGCACAGGCCAACAATACTGGGGCCCCCAAAAAGCTGTCCGTTCCTTTATGTAGGAGCCCAAGTGGTATTTTCCAGCCACCTCACACAGCAAACCAAACCCTAAGACTACACACAGATTTTAAAATGGGGCCTTTATTACCACACAAACTAGAGCAATGTGAGGTAGCCAGTTACCAGGTGGTAACTTGGCAGGGTGGAAAAAACTACCAGATGTCGTGTGAGAACAAGAATTTCCATGAAGGGAAGCCTTCCACATCAGTTTCCAGCAGAAGCCAGGCTGGGCCCTTGTGGCCAAAACTGGTCAGATAGATGCTGCAGTCAGTCAGAAAAGGGAATGAATTCCCCTTAAAGGCTCAGGCGGCTCAAGGAATTTCCTCCAAGGAATGGGGGAACACAGGTTATCTGCCTTGCCTTGGAATGCAAAGGTGACTAATGATTTAATTCCAGCAGAGGCTTCCGGCAGTTTAGAATGTACACAGGAGCTTCTGCAAGACACACATGCCTGGAACTCATGGGAGTCTCACCCATCCGGAGGTCTAGAAGTATGAGGTTTAGGTAGATGGCGCCTTCATAAAGGCTCTCTATAGAAGAAAGAGACGGCACATTCCCTGCAGGTGTGAGGCTTTTCTCAGGCGTGGAGTGACACAGTGTTACGTCGGGCTAAAGGGTTTTCCACATTTGCTGCTTTCACGAGGCCTCTCCACAGTGTGAGATTTTCGGTGGAGAATGAGGCCAGAGTGTTGTGTAAAGGACTTCCCACATTTGCCACACACATATGGCCTTTCTCCAGTGTGAACCACCTGGTGCTGAATGAGGCTCGACTTTTGGATAAAGGACTTTCCACACTGTCCACAGTCGTAAGGCCTTAATCCAGTATGAATTTTCTGGTGTTCAACGAGGGTATAGCTTTGTCGAAAGAACTTCCCACATTCACTGCACTCAAAAGGCCTTTCTCCGGTGTGAGTTCTCTGGTGCCGAACAAGTTTAGATCTGAACATAAAAGCTTTCCCACATTCCCCACATATGTAAGGTCTTTCTGCAGTGTGAACTTTGTGGTGTTTATTAAGGGTAGTTCTTTGGCTAAAGGATTTTCCACACTGGTCACACTCAAAGGGCCTAACTCCACTGTGAATTAACTGGTGCTGAATGAGGCCACACTTTAAGCTAAACGATTTCCCACACTGGCCACACTCATAAGGCCTTGCTGTAGTGTGAATTCTCTGGTGCACCACAAGGCTGAAGCTTTGTCTGAACAATTTCCCACATTCGCCACACTCATATGGCTTTTCTCCCGTGTGAGTTCTCTGGTGCCGAACAAGAGTGGATTTGGACCCAAAGGCTTTTCCACACTCATCACACTCATAAGGCCTTTCTCCAGTGTGAATTCTGCAATGTTCGATAAGGTTAGAACTTTGGCTAAAAGATTTTCCACATTCACCGCACTCGTAAGGCCTTTCTCCAGTGTGAACTCTGTGATGTTTAATGAGGGTGGCTCTTTGGCTAAATGATTTCCCACACTGACCACACACATAAGGCCTTTCTCCAGTGTGGATCCTCCGATGGTCATTCAGATGAGAGGTTTGGCTAAAAGATTTCCCACATTCGCTGCACTCGTAAGGCCTTTCTCCAGGGTGGATCCTCCGATGGTCACTCAGATGAGAGGTTTGGCTAAATGATTTCCCACACTGACCACACACATAAGGCCTTTCTCCAGGGTGGATCCTCCGATGGTCATTCAGATGAGAGGTTTGGCTAAATGATTTCCCACACTGACCACACACATAAGGCCTTTCTCCAGGGTGGACTCTTCGGAGCTGAACAAGGGAGCACTCACAGCAGCAGGCTTTCCCACATTTGCTAGATTCATAAAACCTTTTTCCAGTGCAGACTCTAGGGTGAACAAGAGTATGTTTGTGGCTGGAATCTTTCCTGCATTCGCCCCACTTGTAATGACTTATTCCAACATGAACGGCCTCCTCACATTTGCTGATTTTGTTTGGTTTCTCATAGTTAGTAATGGCCTGTGGCTGAAGAAGGCCCAATGGGGCTAGGAGGTCCTTCCAAACCTCACTACTGGTGAAACGCATTCCTGACTCACGGAATAGGCAGCACTGCACAAATGAGGCCTTGTCCACGTCCCTGTCCAAGGGTTTCTCTGAACGATGATGCTTCTCATCCTGGTTAAAGTCCGCACATGCCCCAGTCAAGTATGGTTTCTGCCCAGGCAAATCGGTCAGGTGCAAAATGTCAGTCAGGAATGGGACACACATGTCCCAGGATTGAGTCTTCTGGATGGATGGACTTGCCTCTGGAGTCCTGACCTGAGGTACTCCGTTTACAGAAACACTTTGCTCAGGTGTCTCCTCATCCTCCATCCCATGCCAACAAACTGAAAGTAGAGAAATGTTGATGAAATGCATGTTGACTAGGATGGGAGTGTATTAATCATTTAAAATATGCTTTTCTGAATAATTGATGTGCCAATATCTTTTTTTTTTTTTTTTTTTTGAGACGGAGTTTCGCTCTTGTTACCCAAGCTGGAGTGCAACGGTGCGATCTCGGCTCGCTGCAACCTCTGCCTCCTGGGTTCAGACAATTCTCCTGCCTCAGCCTCCTGAGTACCTGGGATTACAGGCATGTGCCACCATGCCCAGCTAATTTTTTGTATTTTTTTTTTTTTTAGTAGAGACGAGGTTTCACCATGTTGACCAGGATGGTCCCGATCTCTTGACCTCATGATCCACCCGCCTCGGCCTCCCAAAGTGCTGGGATTACAGGCGTGAGCCACCGCGCCCGGTATGTTCCAATATCTTAAAAACTTTGTTGGCCTGAGCCCAGGAGTTCAAGACCAGCCTGGGCAACATAGTGAAACCCTGTCTCTGCTAAAAATACAAAAAATTAGCTGGACATGGTGGCGGGCACCTGTAATCCCAGCCACTCAAGAGACTGAGGCACAAGAATTGCTTGAACCCAGGAGGTGGAGGTTGCAGTGAGCCCAGATCATGCCACTGCACTCCAGCCTGGGAGACAAAGCAAAATTCTATCTCAAAAACAAAACAAAACAGAATAAAAAACTTTGCTGGCTGCAAAGAAAATGGTGCTTCCAGAGTGAGCCAAATCTTAAGAGATAGCAAAGGGCTCAGGAGGGAGCACACCAAATACACAAAGTAATCAATTCAGAGCCCATCCTCCCATTTTCTATGTGACCTGGACACTTCAGAAGCTAATATCCCTCTGCTCTAATCATCCCAAGGTCAGGCAGCAGACAGCTAAGCCTAGTGAGCCTCTTTGCCCCGAAGTAAACTACTCAAATTACCCAATCCCAAACCGTTTATCATGTCTTGTGTTACCTGCAAAACCTCAATTAAGGCTGTGGCTTAATATTTTCCCTTCTCTCTTGCTTCTGCCTTCTGACCACTAAGCACTTCCTCATGTGGCCCTGCATGGCCCGGTGTTCACGTGCTCTTGCTACTGCAGGTGATAAATTCCTGTGTCATTGACATTAACTACTCTACCACCTCCATTAATTGAAATCCTGTGGGTACATTTTAAAACCTGAAAGGGGAAGCACCTTCACATACACATTAAGGAATGAATTCACAGTATTACTTTGAAGCAATATTGAAGAGCTGAAAGCAGGATTTAAAAAAGGGGGCTGTTTAGCAGAAGTGGGCCTCTAAAGATCACCAATTGGGAAGGCCTCACCAAACACAGGACATAAGGATGGGGTGCAGCACATAAGGAGAGGTGGGGTCTCCAATCTACTCTTTTTTTTTTTTTTGAGACGGAGTTTCACTCTTGTTACCCAGGCTGGAGTGCAATCGTGCGATCTCGGCTCACCGCAACCTCCGCCTCCTGGGTTCAGGCAATTCTCCTGCCTCAGCCTCCCGAGTAGCTGAAATTACAGGCACACGCCACCATGCCCAGCTAATTTTTAAAATATTTTTAGTAGAGATGGGGTTTCACCATGTTGACCAGGATGGTCTTGATCTCTTGACCTCGTGATCCACCCGCCTCGGCTTCCCAAAGTGCTGGGATTACAGGCTTGAGCCACCACGTCCGGCCCAATCTACTCTTTTGCCAAATCCTTCGGCAGGATCTTGTTGGCTGGTGACATGTGCATGCTGAAGGCTGGTGTCATTCAGGCCCAAGATAATGCAACTGGAACTGAATGGGAGATTCCAATTGCGATCATCTTGTGTTCGAGAACTATTTAAAGGCATGTGCACAACTCACAACATCTTGTGAGTGGGGCAGTGCAGAGAAACTGGTGACACCTGGAAGGCAGAAAGATGGGGGCAGCATGAGGCCGGATGTCCCAGGTAAAGCAATAAGCCAGCACGGTGTCAAAGAAGAGAAAGAAAAGGTAGAAATGAGGCGTGTCCCGTGGTATTAGCACCAAAACTCTGGACGACACAGGGCAAGTTACTGGTAAGATGAGAAAATAGGCCGGATGTCACGCCCTCACCTAGGTGCCACTGACTGAGGCCAGGCTTCCTCTGAAGCCATATTCCTATCTTCACCCTTTCTAAAAGCAGGGCTTTCCTGGCACCTCAAGATGTGCCACTACTTGGGACTTGAATGAGGCAAGTCCTAAGGGAAAGCTGGGTCAGGTGAGTATCCTTGCCGAGGGCAAGTCGGCATCCTTGAGAAAGAAAATTAATGCCACACAGATCCTCGAAAGAGGTTCTGGCAGCAACAGCTTATGGTCCATGTAAATACTGATGAGGAAAATTCTGCAAATTCCTAACCTAGGCAGTCAGAGGAAATGTCACCTAGGACGCAGAGCTTGAGACACAAAGTGCCAGGAATATGGACACAGCCACCCAAAGAGGAAGTGAAGAAGTAAACTGACGTGCATTAGGCTGACCCAAGACACTTCACGCCCAGACCTATCCCTGCACGCTTTGGGACAGCATATATCAGGGCTGATCGAGGACTGCAACAATTTCATTCCTTATACCACAGCACATACGCCAAGACAGTGGGGAAGTCAGCAGAGCCCATAGTCTGGCAATGGAAAGGGCAGAGCTGCCTCTGGGGAAAAATAGGATAGATGAAGACCAGGACGTGAGAGTGGGTGTGAGGGCCTTACCCAGTGAGGTTAAAAGTGCAAAGTTCTCCAGCATCACATCGCGGTACAGGAGCCTCTGAGCCTCATCAAGGAGCCCCCATTCTTCCTGGGAGAAGTAAATGGCCACGTCCTCAAAGGTCACAGAGCCCTGCCATAATGGGGACAGATCTTTCCATGATCAGATTCTCTCCTAGGACCCCAAGTTCACGCCCCCCACGCATCCTTCCCCTGCTCACCCTCATCCCTAAGCCCCCTCTCAGAGGAGACACCTCTCAGAGGAGGTCCCATCATCACTGTGTCTTCCCACAGCACCAACAGGCAGGTGGACCAGGAAATGCCACTTAAACTCTGGGTCAAGCATATAGGGTTGGATTTTGTCATGTCGGACACTTCTTCTGGGGTTTCCGAGATGATGCCTCTCATGCAAACAAATATGGGGTTAGCCATCATTCTTATATCCTCAATGCCATTGCCATGGGTGTTCAGTTCACACTTTCTCTCCATATGCTTATCACTTTTTGGAGCACACACTCTCAAACAATCTCATTCCCATAGCTATTTCCACCCCATTGCCCCACACCCTAAGCATCTCTCTGGCATCCCCACAATGCTTGGAATTAAACATCCAGAAGATGCTTTGCAAATTGAAACAGGGTCCAGTGCTACTCAGAGGTTGAATGGTCCCCATTGCCAAAGGTGGCCTTCAGAGCCCCATCCTGCTCTGAAGGACTCCCTGCCTGACTCTGTCCCTTGCCACATCTTCAGTCACCCAGAAATACCTGAGGATCTGACACCCATGGCCCTCTTTCACTAGTGCTGCACTTGATGTCCTCTCTTCAGTCACAGCCTTCCTTTCCCGTTAACCCTCATTCAAAGTCTGCCCCAGAGGACCCCCATCTCAGGACCAGTGACTTTCCCAGATGACCACTTGTGCCCTTCAACTTACCTACCTCCCTGAAATTCCTGACACCCCAAGGGTTACCGCAAAACCCTGAGTGAGCACCATTCTGGTCTCAGTATCATTTTGTCTGACTACTTCCAGGCATTGATCTCATGCCCACTCTTTGCCTAGAGCCTTGGCCACTTGCCAGATCATCCTTGCTCTCATACCCTACCACGGCCACCTCTCTCCCATAGCTGTCTTTGTGATTCCCACCATGACCAACCATGTACCCAAGTAGAAGATCCAGTAGTGACCCCCAACTTCCCTTTCCGGGGCCGGTAATAGCATTACCAGAGTGATCAGGATTCCACCTCCTAATGGTGACCCAAGCTAAGCCCCTAGGCAAATAGTGGCCACCAACTTTTAAATGTGTCTGGCCGGGCGCGGGGGCTCACGCCTGTAATCCCAGCACTTTGGGAGGCCGAGGCAGGTGGATGACGAGGTCAAGAGATCGAGACCATCCTGGTCAACATGGTGAAACCCCGTCTCCACTAAAAATACAAAAAATTAGCTGGGCACGGTGGCGCGTGCCTGTAATCCCAGCTACTCAGGAGGCTGAGGCAGGAGAATTGCCTGAACCCAGGAGGCGGAGGTTGCGGTGAGCCGAGATCGCGCCATTGCACTCTAGCCTGGGTAACAAGAGCGAAACTCCATCTCAAAAAAAATAAATAAATAATAAATGTGTCCATCCTGAATCCCTACCCATAGTTCTAATCCTGTAGGATAAACTATCCCATTTGATGTCTAAACTAACTATTCTTTGCATGTTGACATGATGATTTTTTTTTCTTTGATAGAGTTTTCGCTCTTGTTACCCAGGCTGCAGTGCAATGGTGCGATCTCGGCTCACCCCAACCTCCGCCTCCTGGGTTCAGGCAATTCTCCTGCCTCAGCCTCCTGAGTAGCTGGGATTACAGGCACACGCCACCGTGCCCGGCTAATTTTTTGTATTTTTAGTAGAGACGGGGTTTCACCATGTTGACCAGGATGGTCTCGATCTCTTGACCTCGTGATCCACCCGCCTCTGCCTCCCAAAGTGCTGGGATTACAGGCGTGAGCCACCGCACCCGGCCGATGATTTTTTTTTTTTTTTTTTTTAAATAAAGATATTCCAAAACAAAACTTCTGATTATCTCCAAAGATAACTGACTCAAGTACCAACTTTACAATCTTGGCTAGTGGAGCTTCCCTATTTCCAGCTGTTAAACCCAAACCACCTTGCCTTTGCTCCTGAGTCCTACTTTTCTCTCACGTTCAACATCTCAAAATCCAGACTTTCCTACTTAAAAAAAACTGATCGAGGATCCAGCTACTACCTCGACAGCCACAACACAAGTCCAGTCACCAGTAACACTCACGTGGACTGCCGCAGGAGGCTTCTTCACGGTTTTCCTATCTCATGGCTCACACTCAGCCCGCCCACACACAGGGACCCTAAAGAGACCTGGGTCACATCACATACCTCCTCTGCCCCCAAGCCCTCATCACTCATCACACACTCCAGAAAACACACCCAACATCTGAGAACCATTTACGGTCTGATTCCCGCAGCCCAGCTTTCAGTTCCCATGAGAAAGAAAAAAGCTGTAGGTCCCTAAACCAGCTCAGCCTGACCTTGGAGCACTTGCTCATCTGGTGTCTAAGCCTGAGACAGCTTTCCACACTCCTCTCACTGGTTTCCAGCAATAGGAGCCGTTCTATACCAGCCTCCAGCCTGGATGTGTGACCCTGGGATTGATGTCTGTTCAGATTCCCCAGAACCAAGGACCAAAAACGGTGCCAAGAGCAGAGTCCCAGAACACAGTCTCGGAGACAAACACAGGTCAGCACGACTGAGGGCCCGAAACACTCTCCACTCACCTGTGTGAAGCCCGTGCATTTAGCTTCTGCAGTCATGGATACCTGCGGGAAGAGGAAGGCTGTGAGAGGCAGGTCACTACCCTGAAAGCTCCATGGGCTCATGCGTCCTTTCCCCGAGCAGCCCTGGAGCCCGGTGACTTGGTGGTGACTCAATTATCATTGCTGCTCAGCTCCGCGGTCCTCAGTGTGATTCCTACGTGCTCTGGGACCTTGCACAAGGACTCAGCCTCCCGGTGTTCTCCCCCTTCCGGGCTGTCCTAACTCTGAGTAGCTTTAGGAAATGTTTGAAGTCTAACTCAGACCATGTGCCTCCTCTGTTCACAACCACCCATGGCTCCCAGCGTCTTGAGAAGAGCGAGCCTCCCTCTGCCATGGCAGCGTGTGAACGCTCCTGACTCAACTGTCCCAACAACAACATTCACAGAAACCGGTCCCTGCACCTGCCACGCCCTCCGCAAACCACGACACCAGGCCTGTGAACGGGAGTCCCGGGGTCCTGGAATCTGGGGCCGGGCTGCAGGGACGCGAGCAGGCGCCCCTCACGCGGGTTCGATTTCGGGCGGGAGGGCAGGTGAGGCTCGCGGGGAGGCAGCACTCACCGGAGTCAGAGCCCTCAGCACGGACGCCGCCATCGGATTAGGGGCCGAGGGGTGGCGGGAGGGGCGGGCGACCCGGGGCGGGAACCCAGGCACGGCTGCCACCAGCGCCGGCGACCCACGGACTGCTGCGCAGCTGGGCGATCCCTGCTCTGTGCCGGAGGCAGCGTTCCTAACTCAGGCGCGGGCCAAAATACAGAACAACCCAAACGAGCACCTCGGAGTGGCGCCGGAAGTCCCGCCTTACTGTAGGCCACAACCACCGACACGCCCGGTCCTGAACGTTGATTGGCTTCTCCTCTTTGCAGCTTGGCGCTCGGCGTTGTGGGTAATGTAGTTCTCGGAAGCCCAGGTGTGGGAAGTAGGAAAGTTCTCTAAGTTTCCGTTCTTGTTAAAGAATAATCATAAGTGTTAGGAATACTAGTTTGTTTTAAACACTTTCTTCAAAGCCTTCTTGCTGTTTGCTAGTAGCTCTTTGTTAAGCCCTATCCTATGTGGCTGTTAGACATGCTTATAGGCACCTGGTACGTTCTATGTCCTTGTACTTTAACCAAGATATCGGTGCTGGACGTGCTCACAAGCATGTCCCAGCTTGCAGCCTATGCCACTTCCTTTATTTGGATTTGCTTTTTCTTCTCCATTGCTTTTACCTGTTTAGAAAAGTTTTAAGTGTTTAGCTAATTGGGTTTTAATTTAGATTGTGAGGTCTGGCTCTAACCAGCAGTAAGGACAATCCCAAATGCATAAGGGATAAATATGTCTGCTTTTTCTTTGTTTGTTGTACTCTCCTGGCAAGATTGCTGGTGAGGGTACCCTTTCTGCAGGAAGTCCTTGTTGAGATCCTTTGTCCCAGTGCTGACTTTTCTTTGTGGCACTGAAAATGTACATATAACACCAGCGTTCTGGTGCCCTCCCTGACACAAGGTCCAAGCAGACACTGGGAGGGTGCTAGGAAAAGGCACAACACCATCAACAGGGAGACAGGGTCTTGCCACATCTTAAAAAGGCCATTGGCCGATTTCCAAGGTCCCATACCAGACTGAGCACCCATGTGGCTAGAGACGTTGATTCAGGTTTAGGAAGCTAAGGCTCCGGATCCACACTGAAGCGTCACTCCACAGGCCAGGTGGATACCGTGGCCGCCCTGCCCCATGGGAGGGAAGGAGCCTCATCCTCCTCATGTACAGGGCCGAGGCATTTGAGGCCATTTTGGGGACCTCAGCAGTTCCGTAGGCGGCAGAAGCTACCCACAGATCAGGGTCAGGCTGAGGGCCACTGGTCTGCGAGGCCACTTGGGGTCCATGCCCCCTGGCCCCTTGATGGTTCCCAGGTGCAGGAGGCTGGGCTGAGAAGTTCCTGGGGCAGAGTTCCTGGGTGGCTTCGCCCAGGGGATGCCTCCTCCAGGAGGACACTCCACCCTGGGTGAACTGGGAAAAGGGCGTTTCCTTGACTAGCAGGCTGCATGAAACACAGAGAATCGAGTGTCACCATGAATGAGCACAAAGGGACTGAACGCTGGGAAACATGAGGACAAAATCACAGAGATGTCCACAAGCCACTGACCTGGAATAACGAATAGAGTCATCCAAATGTGAAAAAGAGAGGAGAGTGAGTAAAAGGCAAGAAAGGTGCTCACAAATATCAAAATGGTGCATGTGGCTCTGGCCTCTTTAGAAGCTCTGGAGGAGAGTCTGTTGCTGTGAATGTGTTGAACTCGCTGCTTGTGTCTGTGCAGGAAAAGGACCATCGAGCCACTGGCCCAGACCATGAGGCCCAAACTCATAAAGTCAATTGCAGAGAACGTGAACACGACTAGAAACTTCATAGAGCTATCTGGTTTGAGTGAAGAACAGTATACGTAATTTATTTTCACACTTACATTTTTGCTGTTTAATGGACTAATCATTCTCATAGGAACAAAGATATTTGCCAACACCTGCAGGATCCAGCAGAGAAAACAGCAGAAGCCAATGCACTTTGGGGATCTCATTGTGAGCTCCAAATACCTAGAGAAACCGGGACAAAGCTTTAAGGCCTGGAAGCCGCTGAGAAGACAGGTGGTGCTAACGGAAACCCCTCTGGCCACTCTGTGAAAATAGAAGAGAATTTTGCATCCGGCGTCATCCAGGAAAAAGTTCAATCCGAAAGCTACCATTGTATGAGGGATCCCTTTTGAAAAAAGCACAAACAAGTTGGCAAAGGCCAGTTGGTTGAGAATGAGATCCATGGGTCTAATCTTGTGTCCAGTAAGCAGAGCGGAGTGAAAAAGACCAAGAAGGAAGGAGTTTCCAAGGATTCCCACCACCATCTGAGTGAGAATGGTAATCCCCATTTGCGGACTGGTGGGAGCCATCACGTTATTATCTATAAGACGTTGGTTTTAATTGGTGCCAGAACAATGAAGAGTTCAACAAACGGAAAGAACGATGTTGGGCAGGCACGACGGTTCATTCCTGTAATCCTAGCACTTTGGGAGGCTGAGGCAGAAGGATTGCTTGAGGCCAGGATTTCAAGACCAGCTCAGGTAATATAGCAGGACCCCATATCTGAAAAAAAAAATAGCTAGGTAGAGTGACAGGCCAATGAGATATGATCACAACACGGCACTCCAGCCTGGGCAACAAAGCAAGACCCTGTCTCTTTTTTAAAAACAGAAAGAAAAAAAAAAGAAATAAATTATTAGGGCCGGGAGCAGTGGCTCACGCCTGTAATCCCAGCACTTTGGGAGGCTGAGGCGGGTGGATCACGAGGTCAAGAGATCAAGACCATCCTGGTCGAAATGGTGAAACCCCGTCTCTACTAAAAATACAAAACTTAGCTGGGCATGGTGCCTGTAATCCCAGGTACTCAGGAGGCTGAGGCAGGAGAATTGCCGGAACCCAGGAGGCGGAGGTTTCGGTGAGCCGAGATCGCACCATTGCACTCCAGCCTGGGTAACAAGAGCGAAACTCCGTCTCAAAAAAAAAAAACAAAGAAAATGATTGGATGTCCAGTTGGTGGCCTCTAAGAAAATGAATTATTTCAAGTAAATGGAAAATACAAAGTTTTGACTGCATATTCCTAGAAGGATATCTTAAGGCAAAACTAGCTGCAAAGAAACCTTAAACTTGTCTGTATATTTTACTACAACTATTGATATGGCATTTTTGAAGTAAATATAATAATGTAAATGGAAATAATGCTTTCTATGAAAGAGAAAGTAAATGCAAATATGAAACTAAAGGCTGGGTACAGTGGATTATGCCTGTAATCCCAGCACTTTGGGAGACCAAGACGGGCAGATCACATGAGGTCAGTAGTTTGACACCAGCCTGGCCAAGAAGGCGAAACCCTGATTCTACTAAAAATACAAAAATTAGCCAGATACGGTGGTGCACACCTGTTGTCCCAGCTACCTGGGAGGCTAGGGTGCGAGAATCACTTGGACCTGGAAGGTAGAAATTGAAGTGAACTGAGATCATGCCACTGCACTGCAGCCTGGGTAACAGAGTGAGACTCCATCTATGTAATTAAAGATTTTGAATAAAACTCTACAAACTCCATTTGTTAGAAATAATCAGTATTAACTTATATAGTATTTAATTCTAAACATACATCTGTTCTCTCTTTACATTGAAAAATCTAGAAATTAGGCACAATCATAAAACAGTGCCTAATTCTATCACCAGTTTTTTTACTTTTTTTTTTTTTTTTTTTAATCTTTCAAGACTCATCCTCGGGCATTGACTCTTAATATACTCTCTCAATATAAGAAAGTGGATGGGGAGAGAAAATAAAACAACTTTATTTCAGAATTCCGTACATGGGGCAGGAACTTTCCTCAATTCTCTTGAAACCTTTAGTCAAATAAAGGAATCAGGGAAACTGTCATAATGCTGAATGCAATTTAAGTGATCGTGGGATCACAGGATTCCACCTGCAGGAGCTACTGTTGCACAATATTGTTACAATAATAACTCCAAAAGATAAACCGAAATGTATATGGCAGAAGTGACAGAGAAAAATAACTGCTAAGGTTAATGCTGGGAGGTGTCTGGGAAACTACTCATTATTCCAAAAACTGATACATGGAAACCATCAACCAGTTCTCCTACCTGTATCTCTATAGACTGTTTCACACTGAGAAATTTCTGTTCAGTCACACAAGACTGGCCTTGCTGGGATGAGACCTGTGGATGCCACATAAAAACATTTTATACCATGGGTAATGATAGAGATGCAAAATGAAATTTAAAAAATAAATTCAGTGAAATTTAGAGAGACTTCCTCATGAGAAGAATTCCTTCTCCCAGTTGCAATGAGGTCTCAGTATTGAATGATATGTGGGTGTTTTCAAATAGGGAAGGAAAAAAAAAAACCGCCACGCAGGAGAGCACCTGATCGAGTCACCATCTTCCTAGCATGGTGATAACACTCTAGAAACACATAAAACATCATTAGGATCAATAATATAATTCAGTCACAAATCAATATAGCCAGTTTCCCCTTTATATAGGCACTCATCTGCTTAAATGTGTAAGTGAAAACACATTAGTGAAAGACAAGTGAAATTTTGGAGAATGACATTAAAGTTAAATAATAATAAAAACATTGAATGAAAACTAAAGATGACATTTACATCATAGGATTCATTTTAAATAATAGCAAAGAAACTTGTTCTATATGGAAATGTTTCAAATGTTACTAATTTAATGCACACTAATAAGTAGTTATTGAATAAGATCCAATGAAAATATTAACACATCCAAAATTCTTTTACTAGTATCAAAAGTATACAAGATTTCTAGAAGTTTTTTCTTTTTTTGAGACGGGAGTTTCGCTCTTGTTACCCAGGCTGGAGTGCAATGGTGCGATCTCGGCTCACCGCAACCTCCGTCTCCTCGGTTCAGGCAATTCTCCTGCCTCATCCTCCTGAGTAGCTGGGATTACAGGCAGGCACCACCATGCCCAGCTAATTTTTTGTATTTTTAGTAGAGATGGGTTTCATCAATTTGACCAGGATGGTCTCGATCTCTTGACCTCGTGATTCACCTGCCTTGGCCTCCCAAAGTGCTGGGATTACAGGCTTGAGCCATCGCGCCCGGCCAGAAGATTTTTTTTAAATGAGTAATCAAAATAAATGCCCTTACTATGTAAAGGGTATAATAATTACCACAATTTCTAACTGAAAAACAAAACCTAGGGCAGATGCGGTGACTCACGCCTATAATCCCAGCATTTTAGGAGGCCGAGATAATAAGGTCAAGAGATCGAGACCATGAGGTCCAGAGATTGAGACCATCCTGGCCAACATGGTAAAACCCCGTCTCTACTAAAACTGCAAAAATTAGCTGGGCGTGGTGGCATGCACCTGTAATCCCAGCTACTCAGGAGGCAGAGGCAGGAGAATTGCTTGAACCCAGGCAGTGGAGGTTGCTGTAAGCCTAGATCCCACCATTGCACTCCAGCCTGGAGATGGAGCAAGACTCTGTCTCAAAAAAAAAAAAAAACGCAACAACACATGGACACAGGGAGGGGAACGTTGGGGTCTTTTGGGTAGTGGGGGGCTAGGGGAGGGATAATGGGTGGGGAGACTGGGGAGGGATAACATTAAGAGAAATACCTAATGTAGGTAACAGGGGATGGGGGGATGGAGGCAGCAAACCACTACGGCATGTGTATACCTGTGTAAGAACCCTGCAAGAGCTGCACATTTACTTTACGTTTTTAAAGTAAAATGATAAAAAAAAACAACAACAAAGCCCAAAAACATAATAAACTTGTATCTCTACCCTTGTCATGCCAGCTACTTGGGTGCCTCAGGTAGGAAGGAGCACAGGAGTTAGAGGCCGCAGTGGCCGTGGCACTGCATGTGAGTAGCCAGTGAAATAGCAAGAGCTTGTCACTGTTTTAAATATATATACACTTTTTCAAAAAAAGCCAGACACTGTGGCTCATGCATGTAGTCTCAGCTCCTCCTAGAGGCTAAGGTGGGATGATCCCTTGAACTCAATTAGAGTCCAGATTGGATTGGGCAACATAGAGAGACTCCATGTCTATAAAATTTTTTTAAATTGCACCTCTCCTGTGTCCTCTCTTGTGGCCACATCTGACGTAACGTAAAAAGAAATTCAAACATCTGCAAGTTCCGTGGTTTTTTGGAAACCATTTAGAATGCTAAATATATACAGTTTTATGTATCTTCTCCAATTTTGTTATTCAGAAAAAAAGTGCAATTTAAATGTTGAGTAAATTAAACCCTTTATAAAAATTTTACAACCGTATTTCTATAATTGAAACAAAGAGAATTATTTGAATGTACGTTTCAGGGAGACACATCATTTTTGCTCAAACTACTAGACCAGTGATGAGAGAACCGTGTGTGGGGGGGTAGTGGGAAAATGTGAATATCTTACTAGCCATGATCATCCATATCCCAGAGACACTGATTACTACATTTCACAAGAGAAGGCCGAAGATTAATGTACTCAGCAATAAACCAACCAGATGTGAGATAGGAGAGAACTAAGTGAATGAATACATACTGGCCTGGGGGATGCTCACCAAGCAGTATTACCTCTTCTGAGTGGGAGGAGCAGTATTACCTCTCTAGGTATTAGAGAATATCTGTGATACATTTATACAGACATTGGTTTCTTAAGAAATTTATAGTCTTTAAATTCAAATTTAACGTTGTATAATTTGTAAGATACCACTTCATACTAAAAGGAAATGTAAGGCATAACTAATAGAATAAAAAATAAGTAATAGAATGAGGACAGTGAAGGGGAAAGAGAGAGATTCATAAATGTTTTGGAATAAATATTCCAAACTGAATTTAAATCTTAAAGACATAGGTTATAGCACATGGTATGGGAAATAAAGCTTTCTTAAGTAATTCACTTTGAGAGCCTGTAAATGGATGAATTGAGCATATTATTGAGCATATTGTTATTTTATTATCTTAAACAATTCAAAAATAAAGGTTCATGATATTTCCTTTATCACGGGATTTTGTGGAGATACAGCGAGGATTTAAATTAAGTGACTCCTGCTCTCAGAGAGAGGGATATAAACCTGCTAGTTAAAATAATTCTCCAGTCAACATTTTATTTTATTGTTTTTCTCCTTATCTTTTTAGTTTGGTAAAAACACATCTTGGAAGGCAGAAAGAGTAATATATTAATAGAAGTAGAATAGCAAGGCATTTTTAATATCTGGCTGCAGGCCTGGGTAAATATTACTATTTTTAGACAACTGAAGTCTCTCATAATTCCTTTTATCCTCCCCTAAGCCTCACACTTAATGGCCACACCGTCTTTTAAATGTGCATTTATTTTCCTTCAATGAGGAATAAGATTAGTCTTTCAGTGCTCTATATTGGAGATAATAAATGTTACCTCCCTTTTACTGATGACAGAAACTTTTGAGCTGTCTCATTTCGGATGCTATTTAGCACAACATGCTCACAATAAAATACGACAAAGCCAAACGTGCATGTCAGCAACTGTCACTCAGATGCCAGGCAGCTAACTACTCAGAGCTGGGAGCTTAGCATCCTTGTCTGAGTGCCAGGCACATGTCTGCAATGTGAAGTCTTTAAAGTGAACGCTGTGACGTTCAGCATTTTTTTTTTTACCATTAACAGTGGAAGACTTCCAAAGTCCTCACTGTGAGGAGAGAAATATCAAGCACCCCTAAAGCAGGTGGGCACAAGGGTTGGTGTTGACTAGATGTTCTCAGAAAGTGTCATTTCTCACTATATAACAAAATATGTTTGTGATCAATCACAGAAAACACATACAATATGTATGTATGTTTATGGGTTGTTTTTTTTTTTACTGGATTTTCTGTGATATAATTCTCCTGTAAATCTGACACTTAGCTGAAAAAAATAGACACTTACCAAATGACGTTTGCAATCAGGTCAGTGGGTGCTGGAGCAACATCTGTGCGGGTGTGAGAAGGGGACATCTGACCCTGAGATAAAGGTTTGAGACTCCATGATCTCATCTCCTTGCTGGGAAGTAATTATCATTTCACCTGTAACTTCAGTGACATTATGTGCACAGGGAGTTGAGAACACGTTTGAAAAATATTTGTGTATGACATAAATTACTGAAGGCAATTAATTTGAATTATAAAGTTTCCTGTAAATAACTGCAGAAACAGCTGAAGAGCCACTTTCCTGTGAAACATTTCTTTTAAATCCTGAGCAGACCAGAAGACACTGGGATCAAATAAGTGAAGAGATAAGAACTGAGCACCTCATTATCCATGATTATTAATCACTTTAAAGTCTGACTCAAAATATGATTGTTTCATACACTCGAGTTCATTGAGGATACTGAAACTGAAAAGAGATTAGTAAATGAATAGAGACGGAAAGAATAGTTAAGCCTTCTCCAAGACATGTCTTGAGGTTCCAGTGTTGGTTGGGCCCTTTGGTAGCTGTGCTGAACCATCAGTGCACAAAACGTAAAATCTAACTTCTAGTAGAGGGAAACGTACAGCATTAAATAAAAGTAAGTTACTAATTTGTTAGCATATGAGAAAGAAAAGAGCAGAACATGATGATGAAACGTTGAGGCAGTAAGGAAGGATGGCAACACTAAGAAATCCGTAATAGAGAATGATAGGGAAGTTGATACCTGAGCAAATATTTTATTATTAATTAATTAATTTATTTTTTAGACGGAGTTTCGCTCTTGTTACCCAGGCTGGAGTGCAATGGTGCGATCTCGGCTCACCGCAACCTCCGCCTCCTGGGTTCAGGCAATTCTCCTGCCTCAGCCTCCTGAGTAGCTGGGATTACAGGCACGCCCCACCATGCCCAGCTAATTTTTTGTATTTTTAGTAGAGATGGGGTTTCACCATGTTGACCAGGATGGTCTCGATCTCTTGACTTCGTGATCCACCCGCCTCGGCCTCCCACAGTGCTGGGATTATAGGCGTGAGCCACCGTGCCCGGCCTAATTTGCTTTCTTGAGTCAGCTGGAGTGTTTGATAAATTGAGGCATTTGATGGTAAGCAGGAAGTTTGTGAGTTATGTATGTTATCTGAGCAGGAGGGCCATAAATGTCTTGGGCCATATGTCCTGGACCACAAAGAAAAACAGATTTCCATCCTGGCCAACGTGGGGAAACCCCGTCTCTACTAAAAATACAAAAATTAGCTGGGCATGGTGGTGCGTGCCTGTAATCCCAGCTACTCAGGAGGCTGAGGCAGGAGAACTGCTTAAACCCAGGAGGCGGAGGTTGCAGTGAGCTGAGATTGCGCCATTGCACTCCAGCCTGGCGCCTGGCGACAGAGCGAGACTGTCTCAAAAAAAAAAAGAAAGAAAAGAAAAACAGATTTATAGCTTATTTGCTTTATCTCTTGACTTTCTCCTGGTCTCATTAGCCTGACTCCTTTCCCCTAATTAGGACTCCACAGGAGAGAGTTCTTCTGATGAGCATTCATTTGTTCCACTTTAATGCAGCCTCCAAGTCTCCATAGGGCTGTGTTCCACATAGGCATCCCTTTAAGTGTCCAGGTTTTCATTGCCCTTCTGCCTGAGAGGCTAGGCCACTGGTCATTGCCCATGAGTCAGGGAAACCCCAATCACAGGGTCTTCCACCACTATTCAGTTCTTCCATTACTATTAGAAAATCAGCATGTAGGGCCGGGCGCGGTGGCTCACGCCTGTAATCCCAGCACTTTGGGAGGCCGAGGCGGGTGGATCACAATGTCAAGAGATCGAGACTATCCTGGTCAACATGGTGAAACCCCGTCTCTACTAAAAATACAAAAAATTAGCTGGGCATGGTGGCGCGTGCCTGTAGTCCCAGCTACTCAGGAGGCTGAGGCAGGAGAATTGCCTGAACCCGGGAAGCGGAGGTTGCGGTGAGCCGAGATCGCGCCGTTGCACTCCAGCCTGGGTAACAAGCAGGAAACTCCATCTCAAAAAGAAAAGAAAAGAAAAGAAAAAGAAAAAAGAAATGTTTCAAATATACCAATTTTCATAATCCAATCAGCCCTTATATTTTATGTTCTAGTTCCAGGAACTTCTATTCTTCTCCCCAAGACCATTTTACCGTCTACTGTGCACATGGCTTTGGGTCCCTAGCCAAAGGTTGAGCCAAAGGACCCGGCTCTTTTGTCAATCTTTATCTTGATTAATCTGTGTAACTATTGCTCCAGGCAAGTTCAGATGAGATTTCTCATGGTAGTCTCTGCCTTCCAGCTTTTAAAATTTTTCCAAGTTGTGGAAAATACAGCAAACCCGTTTGAGGCCCTTTACTGTTGAGGCTCAGCAAGGGCTTCCTTTGGTCCACCCAACCTTCGATGGTGTTCTGTTAAGATCTTTGTTTCCACCTCATCAATATCCATTTCATTTATTCCATTTCTTATTTTTATTTATTTTTAGATAGGGTCTCACTCTATCACCCAGGCTGGAATGCAGTAGTGTAATCGTAGCTACAGCTTTGAACTCCTGAGCTCAACTGATCCTCCTGCCTCGGCTTCCTAAGTAGCTGGGACCACAGGTATGTCCCACCACACCCAGCTAATTTTTATTTATTTCGTAGACCCAAGACCTCATTGTGTTGCTCGGCCTGATCTTTAACTCCTGGACTCAAGAAATCCTCCTACCTTGACCTCCCAAGGTGCTGGCATTATAGGCATGGGCCACCATGCCTGTCCATTCCATTTCTTAACAGCTACATCTTTTCACCGGCTGGGCCACCGTGCCTGTCCATTCCATTTCTTAACAGCTACATCTTTTCACCCGGCTGAGATGAGTCCCATGACTTTCCCCTATGTTTTCCCTCTTAGTTGCAACCCGTCAATGTTCTCTTTATTCACCTTATTTCTTAATAACCATTTAAAAACTTCCGGCCGGGCGCGGTGGCTCACGCCTGTAATCCCAGCACTTTGGGAGGCCGAGGCAGGTGGATCACGACGTCAAGAGATGGAGACCATCCTGGTCAACACGGTGAAACCCCGTCTCTACTAAAAATACAAAAAATTAGCTGGGCATGGTGGCGCGTGCCTGTAATCCCAGCTACTCAGGAGGCTGAGGCAGGAGAATTGCCTGAACCCAGGAGGTGGAGGTTGCGGTGAGCTGAGATCGCGCCATTGCACTGCAGCCTGGGTAACAAGAGCGAAACTCTGTCTCAAAAAAAAAAACTTCCACCCTCCTGGGATGAATCCTTTCACTCCGTCTTTTGCCTTTCCCCATTCTCGTGTTAATTAACCTGATGTTTTTATTAGGATCCGAAACATCAGGAGAGGAAGCTGAAATAGCAGATTTGATAAGGCTTCTCAAACCTTTGTTTGATTCTGCAGAAATAACATCTCATGGGTGCCCCTGTAGATGGGGCCTCCTTAACCACGGCATTTAACATGATCTAGGTCATGAGAAGATTTAAAAAATAAATATCTCAGTGGTCATAAGCCAGCCCCACAAAGCTACCACATAAAGTATATCAGCTGCCTCATCTGGGGCATTGATTCAGAGGCTCAGGAAGCTCAGGGCATTGATTAGAGGGATTGATTCAGGCTCAGGGAGCCGAGGCCAGATCCACATGGACGCGTACTCCACAGGGCCGGCCGCCCTGCGGGATGGAAGAAGCCTCCTCCCCATCACGTGCAGTGTCAAGGCATTCGGGGCCGTGCCAGCCGGCCGGCTGGCCGAGGAGGTTCTGTGAAAGACAGGGGCCACCTAGGTATTGCGCTCTGCGCTGGTGTTCCAGAAGGCCACGTGGTGGCTTGGCCCCATGCCGCACCTGCTCAGACCTGAGCCCCTTGACGTCCCCAGATGCAGGAGGCAGAGGAGGCAGAAGTCCTGGACAACTCCACCCCGGGGGAACGTCACCTCGGGAGCCACAGTGGAAAGCGACTCTGCTTTCCTGAGACTCTGTTTCGCTGAGGGCCCCACTTTGCATTTATAGGTGGAGTTTCTCAGGGTACACCGGTGTTATAGTGCCTGGTGGAACAGCTAGTCCACCAGGCTGGCTGTTCCCTCAGGAAATACACATACCCATGTGCCGTTGTTCAATAGTGAGCTATGGGTCCTGCATCAATCCAAACAGGCTCTCTGCCCTGCAGCATTGAAGACTAGATACTGCCGGCCAGGCCTGGTGGCTCATGCCTGTAATCCTAGCACTTTGGGGAGTCCAGGTGGGCAGATCACTTGAGATCAGGAGTTCAAAACCAGCCTGGCCAACATGGTGGAACACCATCTCTACTAAAAATACAAAAAATTAGTCGTGCATGATAGCGGTGCCTGTAATCCCAGCTACTCAGGACGCTGAGGCAGGAGAATCGCTTGAACCTAGGAGGTGGAGGTTGCAGTGAGCCGAGATCTGCCACTGCACGATCTGTAGCCTGGGCAACAGAGGGAGATTTTGTCTCAAAAAACAACAAAAGAAAACTACATACTGCCCCCAAAGTAGTTACTCTGTGACTTCATTCTTGGTAACCTTGCCTAGCAGTAAAGTCTGTCCCAGAACTCTCTTTTACTTTATTTTTGGGTTACAGATAATAACCAAGGAATTGAATATTTCACTTTTGTTTTTAAATTTAAAAATACATTTTAAATTATCTTTTTAAAAAATAAGACCAGGTGGGACTGCAGCGGCTATTGATGGGTGTGTTCCTACTACTGAGCAGCATGGGAGTTTTATCTGCTCCATTTCTAACCCGGGCCAGTTCACTCCTATTTAGGCCACGTGGTGGTCCCCTACTTCCCCCCACCATATTGATGCTGAACTTAGTGTGGACACCAGATCAGCATACTCCTGGACTTAAGCGATCCTCCTGCCTCAGCCTCCTGAGTAGCTAGGATTACAGGTGCACCACCACACCCGGATAATTTTTTATATTTTGTGGAGAGGGAATCTGGCTGTGCTGCCCAAGAGATCCTGCCATCTCAGCCTCCCAGTGCTTGGATTACAGGTGTGAGCCACCGCACCGGGCCTGACATTTTCTTTTCTTCACATTCTCTAGCTGTGTAACTTGCAACTCTTCAGCTCTGTGCCTGCAGAAGAACCGAACATTGTGTTACCAACAGAGCATCGCCAGATGAGACTGGTTCAGCGGTTATACCTCCACCTTCGCGGAGGCCATTATGAGCATCCCTACAGGCCGAGTCTCAGGGTGCCCCCGGACGCGCGTACCAGCTGCTGTAAGGCAGAGCATGGACTTCCCCTGGGGGGACTAAATCCCATCTTTGGGCTCCAGAAGCCTCGCTCCTACTACGGTACGCCACCGCGTGGGGCGCCCTGGGAACCCTCCTGCTTCCCTATTGCCCTGAGGGCGGTTGGAGATGGTCCCAGCCGGTGTGGGAGACGAAGTAGGAGACTTCCTCAATGGGGCTCAAGGCTCATCTGGACCCAGTTTTCAGCCGAGGGGCGGTGGAGGGGGCGTCGGAAAACGCAGGAGCGGCTCCCAGTCCCCCCAGGAGGGGACTCCGGGAAGCAGAGGCGCTTTCCTACGCCGCTCCGGGGCCTCCCCAGCTGGCCCGTCCCCAGACCTCGCCCGGGGTAGAGCCGCCCAGGACCTCTGCCCCTGGGACATCTCGGCCCCGCCTTCCGCATCTGGGGACGCTCGGGGGGGGGGGGGGGGAGGGGAAGCGGGGGAGGGGCGCTCAGATCTGAGCAGGTGCGGCAAGGGGCGAGGCCGCCACGTGGCCTTCGGGAACACCTGCGCAGAGCGCGACACCTAGGTGGCTCCTGTCTTTCACGGAACCGCCTCGACCCTGCACGAGATGGGAAGGAGGCTTCTTCGCTCCCGCAGGGCGGCCCTGGGGAGTACGCGTCCATGTGGATCTGGCCTCACCTCCCTGAGCCTGAATCAAAGCCTCTAATCACCTGGGCGCTCAGCCGCGACGGGACCACGGAAATCGACCAGCAGCCTCTTTAAGGAGCGACAAGGCTTAGTCCTCTCCTGGATGGTGGCGACGCCATTTTCCAGCGCCCCCAGTGCGGCCGCTTGGCCTTTGTTCGGGGTCACTCTGGGCCGCAGCATCCTTCCCTGCCCCCTGGGTACCAGGGACGACTACATTACCCACAAGGCTCTGTTTCCAGCTGCAGGGATGCTGAGCCAATTAGCGCTGAGAAAAGGGTCGTTTCCGCTTTTAGGCCTATGGGTCTGGGAGGGACTTCCGGTATCGCTTCAGTGGCGGTCATTTTAGCAGCCCTTGAGTGCTTGCAGACATTGAGAGCTTTGGGAGCGCTTTGTTTGGCGAGAAAGCCCGAAGGCGCGAGGGGAGGGGTCCTTCCGCTGAACAGTGGCGGGTCTAAGGGGCAGCGGCGGCGGGTGGACGGTTTTGCCCAGGTCCCCTCGCCCGTCGCTCTCGGGTCCCGCCCCCACTCTGCCCACAGGCTCCGATGGCTGCAGCCGCGCTGAGGGCCCCGACTCAGGTGAGCGCCACCTCCGCTGGGCCTCACCATGCTTCATCCCCATTCAAATTCTAAGGCCCAGAAAGCGGTGCCTTCCTGAGTCGCTACGGTCGAGATCCCCATGTCCAGTACAGTGGGGACGCGTGGGTGGGGTCCTAATTTCCAGAACTTGGGTGATGAGACAGGGAAGAGGGTGACAGGGGCCGGCGTTTGTAAACTCTTAGAGATTGAGTGAAGACCGTTGGTACCTGGAGTGCCAAGGTGGGGA